ATACGTTTTAAGACAACTAATAAAGTTTTATTTACACTACATTCAATGCTTTTTACTCTGCGTACAGAACGTCTTGGATTCATTGTCAGGTAACCATCGTCTTTATTCTTACTGTAATATTTACAATCACTGTTGGCCAAATGTGCTCAGATTATCTATGCACTGAATGATCACCATTTTCATACAGTACCAGTCAAAGCTTTTGAAGTATTACTAAGTCACCACGGCTGCATTTATTTGATCAAAAATACTGAAAAAAACTATAATATTGTGAAATATTATTACAATGTAAAATAATGATGTTCTAGTTTAATATACTTTAATATATAATATATTTCTGTGATGCAAAGCTGAATTTTCAGCATCATTGCATTGATGCTAAATAACTTTTGATCAATTTAACACATCCTTGCTGAATAAAAGTATTAATTTCTTTAAAAAAAAACAAAAAAACAATACTCACCCCCAACTTTTGAACGGTAGTGTATATTGTCACCAAAAAAAAAAAAAAACCCTATTTATATAAATTCTGTGATTTTTTTTTGTTTTTAATTTTTATTAGGGCTGTGCAAAGATTTATTGCAATTAATCACATCCAAAATAAAAGTTCTAAACAGTCATTCTAAAATGCTGCTTTATTATCAATGTTTGTAACAGTTGTGCTGCTTAATATTTTTTATAACCTGCGATACTTTTTTCAGGATTATTTGATAAATAAAAAGGAGGGCTGTGCAAAGATTAGTTGCGATTAATCGCATCCAAAATAAAAGTTTGTGTTTACATAATCTATTTGTGTGTGCTGTGTATAATTATTTTGGATACATATGCATGCATGTATATATTTAAGAATTATTTGCACCTAAATATTGTATATATATATATATATATATATATATTATGTAAATATTTTATATATGAATAACACATTTTCTTAAACATATATACATGTAACTTATGTGTGTGTATTTATATACAAAATAATTATAGTTTTAATTACCAACATTTTTAGTCAGCATTCAGATTTGTTCCTGAGAATAATCAAGTTTGCATTTTTAAAGAAATAAATATGTAATTTTTTATATAGGCTCAGAGCACCATATCACATAGGCCTAATATAATATATATATAATATATATATATATATATATTATATATATATATTTTTTTTTTTTTTTTTTTTCATGATGCAAAACTGCATTGCCAGTGAGTATAGTGTGCATCAGTACTGAGAGCTGCCGGCAGGGGGCGCGCGCTCTGCTTCTGCTATGTGAAATGTGATGCTCGTGCGTCAGCTCGCGCGCAACACGCTTTAACTCCAAGCTAAACTCTAGAGACGCAACAGACTGAGTAGCAGAAGGGAAGAGCCACGCAATGAGACCGCTATTCTAACCCCAACCTCCGATTCACACTCTTAAATCCTCTTCGCATGCGTTAGATTCCCAAATTAGGAAAAGGACGTAGTTTAAATGTAGTTTTTTCCCCCCCTGAGACTCTTTATACAGATTTAATTGCTTTTATAAAGTTCTCATGAAATTGGCTTCAGCACTGAGGATGCAAAACAGAATGACGGAACTTTCTACACGGAAAAGAAGCGCTTTGGATGTTTTTGTGTATTTGTGTTTTGTTTCGTTGGCTTATTCCTTTAACATTGACTTGCAACATCCCCTGGTGTTTCGGGGACCAGATGCGACGTTTTTTGGATATTCAGTCCTGGAGCACGTCCATGACAACACACGCTGGTGAGTTCATCAAATACAGATTTAAATAGTTGGTTATGAGTCTTGTTTTGAAGTATGCGAATTGTACAATGATTTTAAAGGGGTTCAATGTCTACAAATGAACTTTTTAAAGTATGTTTGTCTCGCGCAACCCAACTTCTAGAATAGTAAGCCAAAGCCAGGTCTTAAAGAGGTTATTAAAAAACAAAATGTTAAAACTTATGCTTAAATCTATAATTAAGTATGCCCATAATAAACAACCACAGGACGTCCCGTTATTTCCTAACGGAAGCGCTCGAGCGCCCTTCGGTTGCCATGGGTACCTCCTCATGCAAACGTCACTTCTGTAGTTGCGCCAGGTAAAAAATAACCACACTTTTTAAGCTGCTAACTTCTTTTTAAGTGAACTTTTGTGGTCACTAAAGTGCCCTTAATGTTATATTAAGAAACTACGTAGTCCTACTTTAACAGACTAGCCGCCCGTTTGTTTTAAAAGTCGATGAATAGCATTACGTTGTCGCCCCTAGCACAGTATGTCAAATTTATACTACCTTAAAGACATTTTAAATAAAGTTTTGTCTTAAATAAATATCTAATAAGATGAGAAATAATGAGTTAATTAAAGTATTCATCTTTTGTCGCGGTGTGTTTAATATTCGTTAACGTGACGTCGTTTAGCGCCAAAGTGAAACTTAAATAATTTACATATTCTGCATGAATGGTCTTATTTTATTTTGCTTTATCTTGCTTTTGGATTGCCAATGTGGCTTCAAAAAATTGTCGACCTTTAAAGGGAAATTTCATCAAAAAATGAAAATTCTGTAATCACCCTTATTCCAAACCTGCATGAATTTCTCTCTTCTGCTGAACACAAAAGAAGATATTTTGAAGAATGTCGGTATCCAAACAGTTGATGGACCCCATTGACATCCATAGTATTTTTTTTTTCCTACTATGGAAGTCAATGGCTACACTAAACTGTTTGATTAACATTCTTTGTGTTAAACAGAAGAAATAAGCTACAGGTTTGGAACAACTTGAGGGTGCATAAATGGTGAATTTGAATTCAATTTTTGGAATACTTCAAATGTGAATTTTATTGCATTAGGTGATTTAAACCGATTTCATCAATACAATTGACTTTCAAACCGGGTTGATTAAAGAAGTCACTGAGCAAAAATGATGATGCATTTGAGGGAGAATCACACTTTGTTTGATGTTTTTGTTGTCTAATATACAGTATAATGATTACCAATCACAAGCAGCACCACAAAATAGTCACACTTAATCACATTACATTCTTTAGCATTAACAGCTCGTACCATACTAAATGCACAGTAACATGAGCGCTGTAATGCATGTTTGCTCTTACTTTTACAACCGACTTTTGCCAATTCATTTCAAACATGCAACTTTTTCATAAATTCTCTTGTGACTGCACAGATGTTAAGCCTTTCTTCCAAAATCTGTCCTAAATTTGAAAGGGAAACACTGGCTAGCACCCAAATCATTGCCTTTTGCTTCGGTGGAGATAATGATGTAGAGCTTACATCACTGAATTGAAGAGCCAAACCATGACAGTGTGACAAGGCGAAACCTCCTCCAGTCCTAATTCACTCATTAGGCATTCTTATTAGTCACACTTTCAGATAAAAGAAACAAACCTACAGAGAATATTAGTTTTATTTCCCCTTTACAATGACCAAAAACTGTATGAATTGACTGTTGTGTCCGCAGAGGCTGTGTTGTGATGTGTTTCTCCTCCTGATGTTTGTAGGATTGTGGTTGGGGCTCCTAGAGCAAACTCGTCTTTCAGTAGTTCAGTTCAGTCACCCGGAGCCGTGTACAAGTGCCGGATCCGCAACAACCCAGAGCAACGCTGCACTGAGATGGACCTCGGCAGAGGTGTGTATCTCGCATTGTCTCACAAACATCCCAAACTCACACTCATATCAAATTTCACAAAACAAACTATATATGAAGAGTTCAGATGCAAAAGCCTCTAAATGCCATTTGAAATTTTCTTCTTTAATGATGATTTTTATCAAACTTGTATATTTAAGTTCAGTAATTTCACTTAAATAAGAATTAATAGGTAATTATCATTGCCATTTAAGTGAAATTACTGAACTTAAATATACAAGCTTGATAAAAATCATCATTAAAGAAGAAAATTTCAAATGGCACTTAGAGGCTTTTGCATCTGAACTCTTCATATATACACTCTAAAGTTGCTGGGTTGTTTTAACCCAACTTTTGGTCAAATATGAACAAACCCAGCCATTGGGTTACATTTTCTTATTACATTTTTAACCCAACTTTGGGTTTGTCCATATTTGACCCAAAGTTGGATTAAAACAACCCAGCATTTTTAGAGTGTATACAGTACAGGTAGTATAGTCCTGTCAAATCGATTAATCACATCTAACATAAAAGTTTGTATAATGTACAGTATGTGTGAGTGTGTATATGATGCACGTTCGCCTTGACAATGGGAAAGCAGTTAATACAAAAATGCTGGGTTGTTTCAACCCAAATTTGGGTCAAATATGGACAACCCAAAATGTTGGGTTAAAAATGTACAGTTGAAAGTGAAAGTTGAAGTTGGGGTAAAATTTGAAATTACGTTTTTAACCCAACATTTGGGTTTGTCTATATTTGACCCAAATTTGGGTTCAGGTTGGGTTTAGAATGTATCACCACATGCACTCTGGGTTGTTTCAAACCCAACTTTGGGTCAAATATGGACAAGCCCAAACATTGGGTTAAATATGTAATTAAAACATTTCACCCAATGAGTTTGTCCATATTTGACCCAAAGTTGGATTAAAACAACCCAGCATTTTTAGAGTGTATACAGTACAGGTAGTATAGTCCTGTCAAATCGATTAATCACATCTAACATAAAAGTTTGTATAATGTACAGTATGTGTGAGTGTGTATATGATGCACGTTTGCCTTGACAATGGGAAAGCAGTTAATACAAAAATGCTGGGTTGTTTCAACCCAAATTTGGGTCAAATATGGACAACCCAAAATGTTGGGTTAAAAATGCACTTAAAAATGTACAGTTGAAAGTGAAAGTTGAAATGACATTTTTAACCCAACATTTGGATTTGTCTATATTTGACCCAAATTTGGGTTCAGGTTGGGTTTAGAATGTATCACCACATACACTCTGGGTCGTTTTAACCCAACTTTGGGTCAAATATGGACAAACCCAAACATTGGGTTAAATATGTAATTAAAACATTTAACCCAATGACTGAGTTTGTCCATATTTGACCCAAAGTTGGGTTAAAACGACCCAGCATTTTTAGAGTGTAACAAACTAATAATTTGATAATAATGTACTACTACAGTATATGTTTATCCAACCTTGGATAGATACAGTACAATCATATTGAGTGTTATAAACTGTACCATATAGTATGTCTCATCTGCTTGAAAAAATGTAAATTGCATTAGCAAAATATTAAAATTTGGATAATACATCCTACTTTACCTGCATACATGCAGTATAACGTACTTACACGTACTTATAGCTAATCTTCATAGCAAATCGTGGCTGCGTGTTTGTTTACATCATTGTATTATCTCCATCCATCCATCCAAAGTTGAATATAAATTATATCCAGCTTTATCTGCATACAAACCGTATTCACATATACAGCAAGTCTCAACTGCCTGATTTTTTTCATATTATAACTCAGCTCTTCATATAAAGATCTATATAAGTATGTCCAGCGTATATAAATATGTCTGCATATGTGCAGTAGGCTGATATACACTCACCGGCCACTTTATTAGGTACCCCATGCTAGTAACGGGTTGGACCCCCTTTTGCCTTCAGAACTGCCTCAATTCTTCGTGGCATAGATTCAACAAGGTGCTGGAAGCATTCCTCAGGAAGTTTGGTCCATATTGACATGATGGCATCACACAGTTGCCGCAGATTTGTCGGCTGCACATCCATGATGCGAATCTCCCGTTCCACCACATCCCAAAGATGCTCTATTGGATTGAGATCTGGTGACTGTGGAGGCCATTTGAGTACAGCGAACTCATTGTCATGTTCAAGAAACCAGTCTGAGATGATTCCAGCTTTATGACATGGCGCATTATCCTGCTGAAAGTAGCCATCAGAAGTTGGGTACATTGTGGTCATAAAGGGATGGACATGGTCAGCAACAATACTCAGGTAGGCTGTGGCGTTGCAACGATGCTCAATTGGTACCAAGGGGCCCAAAGAGTGCCAAGAAAATATTCCCCACACCATTACACCACCACCACCAGCCTGAACCGTTGATACAAGGCAGGATGGATCCATGCTTTCATGTTGTAGACGCCAAATTCTGACCCTACCATCTGAATGTCGCAGCAGAAATCGAGACTCATCAGACCAGGCAACGTTTTTCCAATCTTCTATTGTCCAATTTCGATGAGCTTGTGCAAATTCTAGCCTCAGTTTCCTGTTCTTAGCTGAAAGGAGTGGCACCCGGTGTGGTCTTCTGCTGCTGTAGCCCATCTGCCTCAAAGTTCGACGTACTGTGCGTTCAGAGATGCTCTTCTGCCCACCTTGGTTGTAACGGGTGGTTATTTGAGTCACTGTTGCCCTTCTATCAGCTCGAACCAGTCTGGCCATTCTCCTCTGACCTCTGGCATCAACAAGGCATTTCCGCCCACAGAACTGCCGCTCACTGGATGTTTTTTTCTTTTTCGGACCATTCTCTGTAAACCCTAGAGATGGTTGTGCGTGAAAATCCCAGTAGATTAGCAGTTTCTGAAATACTCAGACCAGCCCTTCTGGCACCAACAATCATGCCACGTTCAAAGTCACTCAAATCACCTTTCTTCCCCATACTGATGCTCGGTTTGAACTGCAGGAGATTGTCTTGACCATGTCTACATGCCTAAATGCACTGAGTTGCCGCCATGTGATTGGCTGCTTAGAAATTAAGTGTTAACGAGCAGTTGGACAGGTGTACCTAATAAAGTGGCCGGTGAGTGTATATTATGTAGCACATATCTCAACTGCTTGATTGCTTGTATCGTCACAAAACGTAAACTATATTGTCGCCCAGCTCTTATATACTAAATGTGACTAAGGCATGAAGATATTATGATCATTAACATAATGTTTTTCTGTAAGGCTGCTTTGAAACAATGCGTATCATTGAAAAAGCGCTATGTCAATGTTGAATAATTTAGTAAGAGAACCATATGCTTTGGAACTTGTAAAAAGGGGAAGTGAAACAGTGTTTCTGTGCGAGTGTCAAGTGTGATTGTGTTTGACAGCACCAGCCCAAGTACAAAACAGTTAGAAGTGTGACATCTGTGCAGTCAAATCACTGAGCAAACTGCTTTACATGGGTAGTTAAACCCAAACCACTTTACCCCTGAAATGGCTCATGAAGTTAAACATGGAATTTGGACCGGTCAATATTTGAAAACCTGCCTGGATGAATGTTTTAGCAGCCTTGTTTTCATCCTCTTCAGTTATAATAAAACACAGGGCTGTTTTCACAGATATGTTCAGCACTGATAGCGGTAGATTTGCGCTTTTCCTTTTGTAAACATGCATCATACTATGAGCTTGTTTATGTGATAGACAGCTGTCTCTTAAAAGCGTTTTCTTTTTGAACATTATTAATATCACTGTGTGAAATCAGTTAAAATGTCTGTAGCATTTTCTGTCTGGCTCCTGCTGTATTTTGATAGAAATGATGAATGGTTCGGCTAATATTTTCCGATCGGCCGTGCCAAGGACCCGATGTGTAGAAATCTCTTGAAGCTCTGGGTTCTTTTCTTGTGGTGGAGAGATGAGAGTGGTTTATGTGGCTGTAATGCGCACACTTCTGCCTACGCTGGGTCTTACTGAAGGAACACACATGAGGCGTGTCAGCGGGCCTGGGGCCCCAGCTTTGAGTTCACATCAATCATACGGGATAAGACCCCTCAGAGGCCCCCCTCGTGAAATATTGCTACTGATATGAGGTAAACTAGAGTCAGATAAAGAGGACATATTATGCCCTTTTTGCAAAGAGGCTCTACTAGAATAGGTTTTCATGCATGAACGTTCAAAACACATTATTTTTTACATTGTACATTATTCCGGCCAGTGTTGTAGTCGAGACCACCTCACTCGAGTCCGAGTCCGAGACCAGAGAAAGTCAAGTCCGAGTCGAGACCGAGACCAGTGAGGGTTGATTACCTAATTTACTTTTAAATTTACTTAGAGTTTAAAAAATATGATCAGTTTAGGGTAAAACGGCCACATAGTAGGTGGTGTTGAAAGTAATTTTATTACAATTTGTCATGCGCAGTTGCGCACTAGAAAATCACCAATCACTGGGCGTGTCAATCAATTTAAAGAAATATTTTATTAACATACATTAATAATCATGAAAAATATTTTTGAATTGAACTCGAGTGGACTCGGGAATAAGTCCGAGTCCTAAAAAAAAAAAATGTTCGACTACGAGTCAATTCCGAGTCCAAATGCACACGAGTCCATGACAAGACCAAGACCATTAAAATATGGTCTCGAGTCCGAGTCTCGAGTACTACAACACTGATTCCGGCTCCTCTCTTCCCAGTCTGTCAGTAACGATCTGTTTAGTTCCTGTCTCTATAAAGCCCCTCCTTCTGTGCTCTGATTGGTCAACTGCATCAATGTGTTGCGATTGGTCAAGCTCTTCGAGTGTGTTTGGGAAATGTCCCTCCCCTTACCATAACCGCCATTTTTAACACAGTACTAACTAACTCAACCAGGCCCCGCCCCTTTATCCTGCGTATTAATTATTTAAATGAGGAATACTGTGACGTGTTCGTTCGACGGGAGTTCAGAAACACTGACACTGATATAGAGAAGAACTCCTGCTGGAGTGATCGTGTAGGCTAAC